TCCCTATTATATATAATGTATTAACGCTACGTCTATGTCCCTATTATATATAATGTATTAACGCTACGTCTATGTCCCTAATATGAAAAGGCAAAGCTCTCTAATATTTACTGACTTAGAATGAGATCATTTTAATACTGCTTTCAGAATGAGGCAAGATAAAATGTATTCAAAGTCGGTTAGTCGAGGGATAACAATAAAACATAAACTCTAATGAGATTAAGACCTTCATAACAATAGGGGAGATGGGGCAAATTCGGACCATTTTTTTTTATCAAAGTCCGTTCCTGGAAGTATGGCAGCACGTCCGTTTTTGAACATTATTTAATTTTCCCTGTCGGATGATTGGATGACCGAACGAGCCCCGCAATGGGATAAGTTCGGACAGACATTCGGGTAAGTTCGGCCCCATTGGAACTAGCTTAATTATGACGTTATAAAGCCTGCAACGTCAGATTTTATCGCCAATTTTACGACTTTTTATGTGTTATATGGGCCGAACTTGCCACGGTATCATTGGCCGAAACTGTCCGGGCCCAAATTGATATTTCAATAAATTCTTACAGTACAGCAATATGGTAGTGAGTGCTTGGCTTGGCTTTTATGTACATGTATACCATTTGAAGCTGTCAGTGTGTTACACGTTTGACCGTAAAAAATAGCAATTCCGTTTACAGAAAGTTCGCATTACTAGAAGCGGGATCATGATTTTGTTTCTAACCTCTCAAAAGTAATTTTCTCCTGTTTAGTTATTTTACATTAGAGTTTTACTCGCCATGTTTTCGTGTGAATGCCCAGCCAACTAAACTGCTAAGATCTTTAAGTTATAAATATTAGCTCAAAAACAAAAATATCAGGGGTGGCCGAACTTTCCCCGGTCTCCCGTATGTAGTTTTTTTGTATCGTTGATGATTGGTAAAAATGTATTCACAATACAATTTTTGCATCAATGACGCCATTTTCAAACCTAAAGTAGATATTAGTTCTTGTGCGTAACGTATATGATGGGTCGGGTTGCGCAGTGGATAGCGCGCTCGTCTTCACCAAGATGACCTCCACGGGGGTTTTCTCCGGATACTCCGGCTTCCTCCCACATTAAGAATAAATCCTCTGCGTGTTTCGGTCAGGTCACAAAAAGAATGATTGAAATAAGGTGGGAAAAAACTGTTCGGTAATTGCTATAGAAAAAGGTGCATATTACATATTTGACGATAAGTCTATAAAAGTAAATGTACAGAGATGTTAGTTAAAAAAATGAAATTAAAAAAAGAAAACATTGTAATACTTTGATGTAACTGAGATTGTCGTTATATCGATATTTAGAATTCCTGTTCCATCCTAAAACACCGGATCGAATTTAAAATTGTGTAACTGTCACTGAGGTTTGACAGATAATGCAAATACAATTAAACAGTTTATGTCTCTAACTAGTTATAAATCGGCATGCGTTGTGAAAAAGTAATACGTTGCTGAAAAAGGGCGTTGAACTCGGGTTCGTTGTCTGGAAAATTATTGTTGATTTCGACATAAATGAATTATGCATTGTTTCTTTTACGAGTGGTGATGCATACATAAATTATGTAAAGACTATAACCAGACTTTCAAAAATGTTAATTATTTCTTTCATATTCTCAACAAATTGAAATCAAAAGCGGATGAAATTTTAGACGATGAAAAATAAATGTTCACGTTGACCTATTGGTTCAATGCGGTTTAATGTGTTACCATTAAAGAGCTTCGCTCGGGCGCCTTCGGCGCCCGAGAACTACGCTCTTATTATATATTATGTTTTAACGCTATATATATATCCCTAATATATGTAATGTAACACATGTTGTTTAACTTCTGTATCCAGGCTAAACATGTGTAGTTTTACTACTGTATTCAGGCTAAACACGTTTAGTTTTACTACTGTATCCAGGCTAAACAGGTGAAGTTTTACTACTGTATCCAGGCTAAGCACGTGTAGTTTTACTACTGTATCCAGGCTAAACACGTGTTGTTTTACTACTGTATCCAGGCTAAACATGTGTAGTTTTACTACTGTATCCAGGCTAAACACGTGTAGTTCTACTACTGTATCCATGCTAAACAGGTGTAGTTTTACTACTGTATCCAGGCTAAGCACGTGTAGTTTTACTACTGTATCCAGGCTAAACACGTGTAGTTTTACTACTGTATCCAGGCTAAACATGTGTAGTTTTACTACTGTATCCAGGCTAAACACGTGTAGTTCTACTACTGTATCCATGCTAAACAGGTGTAGTTTTACTACTGTATCCAGGCTAACACGTGTAGTTTTACTACTGTGTCCAGGCTAAACAATTGTAGTTTTACTTCTGCATACCATGCTTTACTTTGTTACATACATTACTGCATTAGTTAGTACTTTACCATGTATCTTTTGTATGTACTGTATTGACTTTATTAATCCAAGTATAGCATATATTTATGTCCGTTTCACACACTATACAAACGTCCTTTTATATTGAGAATATTGACGTTACACACACGTATTGTTTACATGTAATGTATCTACGCTATTCACACGTCAATCATTCATAAACTGTAGTGAAGTTATTGGTAACTTCGCGTTTATATGATCGATAATTGTATATGTTGTTTTTGTTTTTACATTGTCATCGTTATCATCATCAGCTCAATATCAACAATACAGAAGTACTCGGGATACCAGTCGTAGTACAGTTGAAGAGCAGAAAAACTAGACAACAGTTAAGGTAAGGTCTACATAACAACCGTATATATGTCCATTGTGGTCAAAAATTATCACCGGGACAATAAGGACATGCATTGCAACCATTTGTTTATTTCGTCTTCTAATAATCATCACAGTACATATATAAGAGACTAACAAAAGCATGGAAAGATATAGAGGCGCGTTCACGAAAAAAGGTCATGAAACTCGAAAAAAGTTAAACTTGTCGTTAATCGGTGAATTATGAAATTGTCATTTAAGAATCGTTTTATGCTTATATTGCTTACAGTTATCTCCCTTTAAACAATGAAATTTCATTAATTTTTCTTCTATGCTTTAAATACAGAGCTACAGCACGTTGGCCAACATTTTTCGTCTTAATTTTTATTCGTCAAATATATATTGTACTTGGATTATGTGTATATGCTTATGATAAAGGTCTGGTTTTCAGCCCTCCTTCTATATAAATCAATTTGAAATTAATAATTATCCTATAATTTTTGGAATTCATATAATTAAGGGATTTTACACACCTCCTCTTCTGCTTTTAAGTAATTTAGACCAGTTCGGATTTCCACCTGTTTGACCTCTAGCATCGCCGATGAGTGCAGTGTAATTCGTTTTTGGCATACTCTATCCATTAACAAAATCCAAAAACGCAAAAATATGTGTGTGTCTTCCGTTCATCCGTCATATGTGTGGTATGACTTAAAACGCTGTAAGAATAAACGATGATGGCCAAATCTATATTTTATTTTGTACTGTTTTAAGAGGCTTAATTTCATATGCTACTTAAGTAGCCCACCATGTTTATTTTACAGAAACTTCAATAATGAAAGGAAAAGTTCTAAACATACTAATCAGCCTTTTACAAGAGTTCTGTAGGGGCTCGATAAAACGAAAACCTTTAGACATACTTACAATATTCAAAAAAAAAATTTGTCAGGGCTCGATAAAACGAAAACCTTTAGACGTACTTATCAATATTCAAAAAATATTTGTGTGAGGGCTCGATAAAACGAAAACCTTTAGACATACTAATCAATATCTTTAAATATTACTGTAAGAGCTTGATGAAACGATTTTTTTTAAACAAACTAATGAATTTAAAAAAATATTTCTATGGGGGCTTAGTGAAACGACAACTTCTGGACATTCTAATCAATCTTTAACAAGATTTCTGTGAGGGCTTGATAAAACGAAAACTTAAAGCCAAAATAATCAGTATTGTACAGGATTTCTATATGGACTGGATGAAACGAAATCTTTTTGACACTTTTGTAAATATTATAAAATATTTCTGTAATGCCTGGATGAAACAAAACTTCAAGAAACACTAATAAGTATTTTGCACGATTTCTGTTACGGTTTGGTGAAAACATAACTTGTAGTCACACTAATAAATATTTACATGATTTCTGTGAGGGATTGATGAAACGAAAACTTATCAATATGTTCCACAATCTTTGATGTGGCTGGATAAAATGAAAACTTTAAGACACACAAATTAATATTTTAAAATATTTATGCGAGGGCTTGTAGAACGAAAACTTCGTGTGTGTACTGTACGTGATGTGTTTGTATCTGTTTCTCTATTCGTCTTTCCTTGTTGACACCATTATGAGGAATAATTTATATATTTATTTTAACACTCTAGTTATATACTAGTTATACTGTAAACAAATATATCGTTCTATGTACACTCAATCCTAATATAACAAATCTAACGTTCTATGTACACTCAATCCTAATATAACAAATATATCTTTCTATGTACACTCAATCCTAATATAACAAATATATCTTTCTATGTACACTCAATCCTAATATAACAACTCTATCGTTCTATGTATACTCAATCCTAATATAACAAATCTATCGTTCTATTTACACTCAATCCTAATATAACAAATATATCTTTCTATGTACACTCAATCCTAATATAACAACTCTATCGTTCTATGTATACTCAATCCTAATATAACAAATCTAACGTTCTATGTATACTCAATCCTAATATAACAAATCTATCGTTCTATGTACACTCAATCCTAATATAACAAATATCAATTCAGTATTTTTCTTTTGTATATATCCGTTTTATTTAATATGCAAATTTGAGCAGCTCCATAGCGCTTTCAACTATTCAGAGGTTCCACAGGAAGAACATTTGTGGCGAGCGCTTGGATTTAAATATGTAAAATACTATTGCTTCAAAATGAGTAATATTAAGTTGCCTGTTATAAAATAAATACTTCAATATTGATGAATATCGGAAATGAAAATGTCTGAGTTGAAAATGGATGTAGTAAATAATTAATTCAATAGAAACTCCAAATGTGAATATGCTGTCGTGTTTCTTTCTCTCCATTTCGTTTATAGCTGTTATCATAAAAACTTCCTATATGATTTTAAAATATTTTGGAGCATATTTTCCGGAAAAAACGTCAAAGATGAAATATAAGGAAGATAAAACCGTAGGATTGACCGAGTTCCTAGTTGACAATATTTTTGTTCAGTTTGCTGGACGGATTTTCCAGCAGATCGTTGACATTCGTAAACTTTTAAGTTTCCATACGAGGCTGACTTTACTGAAGAGCTTATCAGGACTAGTAACGTAAACCTTGTGAATTCTTTTACTTTCACTTTCAGATATATCAATGATGTGTGACGTAGCGTACTTCATTTGAACATTTCTACGCTGATTGTTTTTACTGGGAAACTAGTTTATTTTATGCAATACCCCATATGTAGTTTCTATCATTGAAATGCACTGTCAATTGTAAACACATCCCTGACCGTACGCTTCAGTGGGTAAACTGTGTTTTAAGGTAAAAGGCTTCACTATCGCGAAGAATTGTCCTTTTCAATAGAAATGTTCTGCAAAAATCACATGTTGCCATGCATTTTACTCCTTTTGGTTACTTAATCTTCTTTATAGAAGGGGAAATACTATAAGTCATGAACACTCTCTTGAATGGAACTTTGTTTGCAGTTATAAGTGACGTAGTGCGCATGGTACCCTTTACCTTAAACAAACTAGGTTGATCATTACTACACTCAATCCTTTACAATAAACATCCTTGGTAGTACGCCTCAGTGTATAAACTAGGTTGATCATTGCTACACACAATCCTTTACATTAAACATCCTTGGTAGTACGACTCAGTGTATAAACTAGATTGATCATTACTACCCTCAATACTTTACATTAAACATCCTTGGTCGTACGCCTCAGTGTATAAACTAGGTTGATCATTTCTACCCTCAATACTTTACATTAAACATCCTTGGTAGTACGCCTCAGTGTATAAACTAGGTTGATCATTACTCCACTCAATCCTTTACATTAAACATCCTTGGTAGTACGCCTCAGTGTATAAACTAGGTTGATCATTACTACACACAATCCTTTACATTAAACAAACTAGGTAGTACGACTCAGTGTATAAACTAGGTTGATCATTGCTACACTCAATACTTTACATTAAACATCCTTGGTAGTACGACTCAGTGTATAAACTAGGTTGATCATCACTACACTCAATCCTTTACATTAAACATCCTTGGAATTACGCCTCAGTGTACACAAGCTAAAGGCTCCGTAAGCTTATTCACATCCAAAGAAACTAAATATGTATGGTATAATATATAATCTCTGATGACCTTATTCCTGTGCCGTTTTAGACGTAGCTATGACTGTAACAACCCGTTGTCAGATGTACCGTAGCATCTGTTTTTATCCGGACAAGTTTGTGGCCTTGAACTTTTGCTGACCACAAATTAGCAAACATGACTAAATTGATTTAAACGATAGTCTCCAAACCCATGCTAGTTTGCATGCTCTAATAGAATGTGTTTTGTGTCGTCGATAAATCATTTTTTACGTTTGAGAACATTATCTACTTTTATTTTGTTTTATTGCTCCAAGACAATTTTAAAGTTCTGAGTCATTGTTAAAATAGGGCTTGTTCGTCAGGATTTTTTAAAAACATAATGACATTATTAAACTGTGAAATAAACAATTACATGATTAGAACGTATACTAACAATAGTTGTATTACCCTGCTCCAGCTTTCCAAAAACACCTTATCAGTTTTACTATATGTGTAGGTTTGATATTTTCTTGAAATCAATATGAAATTCAATACCGTAAATTTTCTTGTTTCTCTTATGACGTTCCCAGATAAGAAGTATAGCATAATTTTCAAAAGGAACTTTAATCCAGAAACGATTATCCTTTCAGAGTGTCAAAGTATACATTTCATGGACGTATTTCTGTTTATATGGAAATCCTTCAACATGGACGACTGAAGATTGTATCTCATTATTCCATATTAGTTCATACATGAAAATATACCACAGTGGTAAACACATTTAAACAAAATTACCCTGGATTTCTTCCTCCATGTCAGAGTGGTTTACAATGAGTTTTAGCATTTCTGTATACATAACAATATAAATACTCGTGAATCCTTTAACAAATTGTACAGACCTCTATCCTTGTGAATTTAATCCCCGAATACTTATTGTCATTACTTGTGATCATAGATCATAACTTAATTACATATATATACACATACTTGAACAAACAACTGGAAAATGTAAGCATCCTGACATTACGTAAAAAAATAAATACAAATATGGCCTGGAAATTTCCAGTTCAGCGGAAGTCTAGCTGGATCTATATTTAGCCGTGTTGGGAACCCCAGTTCACTTTGAATATTGAATTTGACGTTTACCGACACCTTTCAGTGGATTTACTCATAAGGTTGGAATAATTATAACATTAGTAAGTACATACGTATAAGTCATACATTTAAGACATGTTATTGACCATTAGGGGTTGTACAGGCTCATTATATCACTAATTTCAACATTTTTATAATAATATCCTCTTTATTCAGATTTATCATTTTGATGTATGTAAATGTTTAACTGCATGCAGTACACTGTAAATAGCTCCCTATAAACTGTATTACACTGTACATACCAGCATATACACTGTATTACACTGTATATAGCTCCCTACAAAACTGTATTACACTGTATATAGCTCCATATAAACTGTATTACACTGTACATAACTCCCTATAAACTGTATAACACTGTATATAGCTTTCTATAAACTATATCACACTGTACATAACTCCCTATAAACTGTATTACACTGTATATAGCTCCCTATAAACTGTATTACACTGTATATAGCTCCATATAAACTGTATTATACTGTATATAGCTCCATATAAACTGTATTACACTGTATATAGCTCCATATAAACTGTATTACACTGTATATAGCTCCCTATAAACTATATTAGACTGTACATAACTCCCTTTAAACTGTATTACACTGTATATAGCTCCCTATAAACTGTATTACACTGTATATTTGTATCTGTACCAATATGTGTTGATTATGTTTGACGTAATGCACGTTTATCCTGACAACAAACTAACTTGTTATGTAGTCTGATGTTATGTCCAGAAAATAACACGTGACAGAATGAGGGCATACTGCTGCTTATGTCCTTTTATCACAACTAGAAATCGATGTGCCACATACATTTTTAGAGGCTTTACATGTACTGCCAACAGTCTGGATGAGAATAAGTTTAGATCCAGTCCTTCCTTTCTCAGGACAACATGTACACTACAGAATAAAATATCACATCAAGTAAAATAAATGGCAAACACGTACTGTCTTGAAATTGGAAATAAAACGAAGCCAATCAAGTAAATACCACAGGCAAATAATGACATACAGTACTAAACAGTTAGCACCCTGAAATGTGCCACCACAGGATCAGTTAGAAAGGCCATTACCAAGGTTACCGAGGTAGTCATTTACTCATAAGAGAAAAATATGTTATATATGCACGGTATAATAGGCCAAAGAATGACATTAAAATCGTCAAAATAACACGTAAAGCACTTCAATGATACTGATGTAAATCATTTATATTATTAACTGTTTTCACAATTTGAACTGAATTATAACGTACCGCTACTGAAACTTACCTAAGAAACTTTCAAAGGGAAATAACCCAAACATAATTATGTTTTGATAAGTATACATAAGTCCTTCACGTACGCCACATCCTCAGACAATATATACGATTNTCCATATTCAAAAGATACAATATGTTCCACACAGCATTTATCGATAAGGGGGCATAGTGTATTTGTGGCATATCCAAACATAACACAGAATGTATAGTGTTTAATCTTACAGAATAATATCTTCATACTTCAACATAATTTGAATACTAATTAGCTGTTTTTATTGTATCTTCCTCCAGGTTGGTGATTTCAACAAGTGACTCATAACCGATAACAAAGGTAATCATATTTACCATTATTTTATCGTTCCCAAGAAATAAATATATTTCTACCATCAATACGTATGTAAGATACACCCATGTGGGATCGTGTTTTCCACATGATGAGGTCACAATCAGATGACGACGTTATTTTGTGATGCCACTATCGGAAGTCCGTCAAAAAATGGTTTAACTGACTGCAACAATATTGCTATTGGACAAGTTTGTTCTTGCGGTGTACCGCTCTAATCAAATATAACCCAAACTAGTGTGTCCGTTATCTAGACATTCTGCTGTACTAATTACTTTGTGTTGCATTTACATTGTCTATTATTTTATTATGGCCCTTTCCTGAGGGAACTGTTCTCTTATAGTGTTGTCTGGGGAGGCACTATACTTGTCCAGACGACACTATAAGAGAGCTGTTCCCGAGGGAAAGGGTCATAATAGATTTAGTACATCACTTGACTGTCATTTGACGATAAAAAGACAAACACGAGGAACTTCATTGATGACATATTTAATAATTAACAACAGCTGGAAATTTGAACATAACATTTGAAGATTTGATTAATGAGTTGTTGTTAATTGTAACGGTACAATTACTAAAATTAAAAGAAGGTGCACAAACAATGGACTGTCGAAATCTCTGTCACGTGATGGTTCTTGTAAATGCCGCCGCAAACCTTGCCTGATGGCAATAAGAGAACATTTTGAGTAGATCTCTCCTTTTTTGTTGCGTATATTGGCATAGAAACCGCCAAAACACCGTTCAATTATCTGGATTAAACCACCGCTATGTCACATACGGATCCCCTTTCCAGTAGGAAGTCTTTAAGGACTGTTGAGGAACACTTTAAACATACGTTTCTGTTGGTGTTAAGTAGCACTAATAAGTTCTTAATGTCCGTAAGTACACCTGTAACAACGTTGTTTATATTGGGTACAGTTATTGTAATTTTGTTCTGGCTTTGATTTCAAAAACACTTATAGATTATGAATATGAAAAGAAATGATAATTTCTATACATTTATTTTATGATTATCTTCATGTAACTCAATGCTCCTTGTCTTTGAGTCACTGTCTGTCTGTCTGTCTGTATATTTCTGTCTGTCTGTCTCTGTGTTTCTCTGTGCATCTTTATGTATTTGTGTGACTATATATCTCCCTAAATAATCTAGTCATAGGCTTCGGAAACCGAAGTGTCGCTAAAACCAACTGGAACTGTCACGGAACTGGAATGGAAACTAGGTGTTCCGGAGGGGCAAATGTTCCTGCAACTCCGGAAAGGTAAACATTCCTGCGCCACGTGTCTCCGATTGTCATATTCAGGAACGTGGGTAGGTTAAGGAGAAGAACATTCGATGGGCAATGCAGTTTGTCGTTTGGGCAAACATAAGCGTCTTCTTCTGAACTCAAAAACTCTTGCGATGTGATAATCAGCACAAAAAAAATGAAAAAAAAAAAAAGACATTTCAATCGGTGTGCATAAAAATGGGATGTTCCTCCCGCCAGTGTTTGGATGTGGAGGAAGTTATGGAATGGAGAGGATATGTTTCAGTCGAAGACATTATCTGAATCGCCGTATTTTAATACACCAACAGAAACGTCAATTCATCGGGATTCACACAGAACAATCATGAAATGATGACAGTTTATTCAACGCAGAGCACAAAATCACACAAAACTTCATGAAACGAGTCATTCAGACACACGGAGAGCAGTGATGGAGCTCCGTCAGAAAAGAAACATATTTCGAGCGTCCATACACAACTCGACCTTTATCGTCTATGGAAGCAAAATGTAAGGTTAAAGAAACAAGGGAATTATCTGATGACTTGTATTACCTTTATGACAGAATCTCATATGTAAATTACGTGGTAAAACTGTTGTGATATATACATTTTATTGCGGAGTGACATATTCTATTCGTGGAAAAATATGCAATATTTGAAACTATGGTAAACATTTTACATGGAATAAACTGTCAAATTTTCCGAAATGAGCGACAAAACAGTAGCTAAATGTATTCTTGGAAAAAGGGGAGTCGATATAAGTTAGAGAAATGAAATAGCAGGCAGAAATGATGTAATCCAGTGCCAAATTGATCCACAAACTGTAATGAATGAAGTGTGGAAAACTGCTGAATAAATTCCGACTTTACTACAAATTACATAGATTTCCTACTTTTCCTTGTCACTTTTGTCGTATTTACTGATAGAATGTAAACACACTCAAATTCCATGAAAATAATACCTAATCATGTGATAAGGATCGGCATAGTGGACTAAGATAAAGTCATACTAGTCACACTTGTATTTGAGGCGAAAGACAAACCACCCAAATCACTGGACAAGGTTCTAAGGAAATAAGAAATCTGCAAGATGATTACCCGAAACAGTCACATCATGTTATCCTTCCGCGATACAAAAGGAGGAAATAAAGGGCGTGAGAATAAAACTAAAGAAAAACGACAAACGGAAACATTATCATTTAAGTGGTTATGTAATCCTAGGTCGACAACAAAACAACGGTAACAAACTTCAACTCCAGTACAAGAAATCAACAAAGCATTCTAACAGTCAGTAGACCAAGTTATAATCAATAAATGGTACAATTATCGGCGATATACGGTAGTGGTTAGACTACTACTTGTTGTTCCGCCACTGGATCTAAAATTGTTTGTAAGTACAAAGAAGATGAAATCAAGACCATAGACAACATAAACATGACATGTTTGGGCATACCTATCCTGTATGTGTAGGGAGTCCCTGATTATCCTGTATGTGTAGGGAGTCCCTGATTATCCTGTATGTGTAGGGAGTCCCTGATTATCCTGTATGTGTAGGGAGTCCCTGATTATCCTGTATGTGTAGGGAGTCCCTGATTATCCTGTATGTGTAGGGAGTCCCTGATTATCCTGTATGTGTAGGGAGTCCCTGATTATCCTGTATGTGTAGGGAGTCCCTGATTATCCTGTATGTGTAGGGAGTCCCTGATTATCCTGTATGTGTAGGGAGTCCCTGATTATCCTGTATGTGTAGGGAGTCCCTGATTATCCTGTATGTGTAGGGAGTCCCTGATTATCCTGTATGTGTAGGGAGTCCCTGATTATCCTGTATGTGTAGGGAGTCCCTGATTATCTTGTATGTGTAGGGAGTCCCTGATTATTCTGTATGTGTAGGGAGTCCCTGATTATCTTGTATGTGTAGGGAGTCCCTGATTATCCTGTATGCGTAGGGAGTCCCTGATTATCTTGTATGTGTAGGGAGTCCCTGATTATCCTGTATGTGTAGGGAGTCCCTGATTATCCTGTAGTAGGGAGTCCCTGATTATCCTGTATGTGTAGGGAGTCCCTGATTATCCTATGTGTGTAGGTAGTCCCTGATTATCTTGTCGGATAACATAACAGAATGAATATACGAGAACTATTGGTTAGTAGAGTTAAACTGAAACGGAAAAGGATATTGTACCTTAACAGTGAAACAGCCAGTGCTTTTAAAACAACAACAGAATACCAGAGTGTCAACGAAACCATTATTCGAACTCAAAAGCGATAGATTAGGCGAAGTATTGACAAAGGCAAAACATTGGCATGGAGACCCTTGAAAAAGAATAAGACCAGGTGTTCCAGAACGTTAAGCGTCTTCTGCTTCATCGACGACACCCGCCACGTAAATATAGGTCGAATCCAGGTAACATTACGTTCTCGTATCGAGAGCTCGAGTAGTGACAGCAATACTGAGTATAAATAATACCACAGACCTTCATACCACACAAAGAAATAGCATACTTCCCTATGGGATCATGATGGCAAGTATTAAAACGTGTCCATAGTCGCCATCTACCTGCATTTCATGAAAACCCTGTTTTGTAAGTTTGTCCGTCAGCAGTCGACATATACCACGGAAGTTATAATATCCGGAGCAAGTCCTTGAATACCGAATCAACTGCGGCATGTTAACACGGCTGAAGACACAGGGAAGCTACTGTCAAGAAAGAAAGAAACAAATATAAACGAGGCAGGAAAATATCCATATCAGCCATATTGTAATGTAAAAGCGTGATTCACGAAATGTTAGGATGGTATTTGAAGAACAACAACACAACCACATACAGCAATATAAAATATAAAATGGCAACGAACATCGCTAAGACTGTATAAATGCGATCTAATACAGAACAATTGAATAGCAAGGAACACTATAACAACTGTTCTTGGGGAACAACAACACAGCCACATACAGCATTAAACAGGAACACATCTCAAGCTTCATATAGGCGAACTATCATGAAGCAATAGAGAAAAAAGCCAGGAAGAAAACTACAATGGCACGAAGGCAAGGTATCAAATAGCAAATAACAATGGAACAACACTCATCCGTAGTATTTACTATACTGTAAAATAGGCTAGCAAGGAACAATACTACAACGGCACGAAGGCGATTTATTATACTACAAAATAGAATAGCAAGGAACAACACTACAACTGTATAAAGGCGATTTATTGTACTGCAAAATAGGATAGCAAGGAACAAAACTACAACTGTATAAAGGCAATTTTTTATACTACAAAATAGTTTAGCATGGGACAACACTACAAGTGTACGAAGGCGAATAACCATACAGCAAAAGTCGAAAAACAAGAAACAGTGCTTAACTGTGCAAAGCTGATTTGCTAGGAACACCGTTACAATTGTACAAAGGTAATTTAGCATACAGCAGAATACAATAGCTAGGAATACCACTACAATTGTACGAAGGCGATTTATCATACAGCAAAATTAGAATAGCAAGGAACAGCAGTATAACTTTACAAAGGCGATCTATAAAACAACAATATGAAATACCAATGAACACCCCTCCTCGGAAATCTTTCGGAAATACATATAAGTTAGAACAATGACTAAGGTGGGATGACTGAGGAAAAACGTGATTTTCTAGAATATGTCGACAGAAGAAAATCTAGACAAGCTACTTACAACTTTAAACCTGGAGATGACAACATCATAGAGACAA